ATGTGGTTCCTGTGCTGGCAAGTCAACAGTGGACAGGATCTTCTCCATACGCCAGCTACAAGAGAAGTTTACAATTGGTGTTTAAATCTAAAATGCTGCCAGCTGCTGTGCTGAATATAGTGAGATATAATTACAGACTGAAAACAAGACTTTAAGGGCGGATTCCAAAATACATGTAGAATACATGTAGATGTTTGATTCCAGAAGGTATGCTTTAACTTAAGGTATCATCTGGATCTCTCAAACTGTGGAAAAACTCCAGCCTCTCCAACTCTTTCTTTCAGCTCTGGCGTGGCCGAAGCTTTTGTACCCCTGTGAAAGTGAGTCGTCTTAATTTTTTTTTGACAGAATTTGGAAAATTCCCTGAAGAAAGAACAGAAGAGAAAAAAGGGCAAAACAAAAGTATCAAATCGAATTGGTAAAAAAAAATCGATTAATGTGTGTGTTGGTTCTTCTTTGGTCTGAAAGTAAAGTGAAGTAAAGGTCACACAATTGTTCACCTTCATCAAAATTTAGTTGCATGTTTGCATTAAAGTAGAGTCCCTTTCCATTGAAAAGTTGGTGATGATTTGAACTAAATACATGAAACAAATTAAAATGTAGTACAGTAATGAGTAAAATAAAATTAAGGTTTGCTTTTACAGGGAAACAATAGCTTCAACCTCTCTAGATGAAAAAGAGTTAAAAAAAGAGTGGAGTTTCTCTCAATATATGAGATCCAGACCTTAACATAAAGCTGAAGCTTACCTTTGTGAATCAAACATTTTGAAGCTTTTTACAATTCTGCATGTGTTTCGTGACATACTTTGAGTTATGATTCACTTTCCTCAGCACAGAAACTGACAGCATTTTAGATTAAATATCAGCTGTAGACTTCTTTTGTAGATGGTATATGAAAAGAACACTGTCGATCTGTTAGTTTTTTAAAGATTTGGCTTTATTTGAATAGTTGACTTTCTCAACAGTGTTTGAGAACAGGAGACATGAGTGTTATTTCCAAATTTGATTGCAAGTTCTGTCTCTGATCTACAAACACCATATTACATCAGTACTAGATTGTCCATTAAAGTTCCTCCACTCCTGAATGAGATGGAATGAGTTGATGGCATTTCCACTTGCATAAGATGAAGAATATTATACCAGCAAGTGGGAATTGGAATGACTCAGAGACTAAAAGATGGAAAATATCAGACCAGTAATTGAGAATTGGAATAACTCACCTCAAGTATACTTTGATGGGATAGATTGATCGATATCCCTTTCTATTCTCAGGAAAGTTAGAAAAGCATTGATCTGACTAGTAAACTGATAATTTTTTTGTATCCTGGCCTCCGAATTTCTTGGGAAAACCAAATTTGATTAGCCGCTTTCCAAGACATTAGATCCATGCAAGAGATTAGCACAAATCTTCAGACAGACACCTTCTTGATTTTTTTTTTAAGATCACCTGAAAGCCCAAGACTCTCTTGGGTCAGATGCACAAGAGGCATGATATTGAGATACTAATGTGAGTGTGCGGATAATTAACAAGGGGAAATGTGTGGTTGATCTGAATGGAAGATTTGGGTCCTGGACATGTTCAATATTGACAACAGAATAGCACTGAATGATTCATATGGATCAAAGATTCAGATAACATTTTATATCATCAAGGCATTGATACATACTCCACAGAGAAACTGACATTAAGCTGATCAGGAGTGAATTAAACACTCTAAATTTCTTTCAGAAGGAGTAAAATTAAAGAGTGACATCAAATCTAGATTGTGAAAATTTCCATGTGGTGACTGCAGGTGAACAGAGAACTGGGGAATCTTTTAAGTTCCGCACATGAGCTTTGTTTAAACCGTATATACTTATGACATGATTTAAAATTGTGAGAGATAATCTGCAGGTAGGGAGGATGAATCAAAGTCGATAGTTATCCCATTTTACTGGAAAAGACTTGACATTTATTCTTGGAGGCAGCTCAAAGATTTCTGTGGTAACAAGGTGTAGAGCTGGATGAACACAGCAGGCCAAGCAGCATCAGAGGAGCAGGAAAGCTGACGCTTCGGGCCTAGACCCTTCTTCAGAAAATTTTCTGAAGAAGGGTCTAG